AACCTTATTATTCATAAACTTATATATATATATAAAATGTGTGGGATGCAGGAGTGGTCAGGCGTCTTTGAATATGAAAATAAGGAATTCTTCTAGTAAGCAAAATTATATGTTGACAAATAACTTTACGCGAATGTGGACGATTCATATAACAAACAAGTAATACAAATAATAAATTCGAAAGAGTTCATCTTAGTATTGGAACTGTACTTCTCTTTAAAGTACATACGTCTTTCTATCTCCGTTCCAAACCGCCTTATTACTGATTTTTTGTCATGTGCGCAGAAGGTGTGTCTAAAAGATTAGTCTTGCTTCTCACAACAAGGATTAGCTCTTAGCTTTCAGGGACTGGCACCACAGATTCAGTCATCCTGGATTTCGTCTAGTCCTAGAGCGACTCTAAAAATAGAAAAAAAAGAAAAAGCAGAACAAACTGAAAAATATAATTGATTTCTGAAAAACAAATGTTTCGAGTTAATATCGTCTTTTACATTTATCAAAAAGTCTCTCAGGTCAAAAGTCAATCTGTTCATGCACATTCATTCTTCCGTTTTTACGCGTCTTTTGCTTCTTCTTCAACATCTTTCGTTTTCTTTTTCCACGTCTTTCATCTTTTTTTTCTTCCTTTAACGTCTTTCGTCTTCTTTTTTTCTTTAACGTTTTTCGTCTTGAACTTCTTCCGTCTTCGTTATTTACCTCTTTATTTAGTGTTTCGTCTTTTTTCTACTTTTCAAAAAAATCAAATCCACTTCTTTAGCAATTATTTTTCATCTTCAAAAATCAATCATCTTCAAAAGCAATTATTTAGCAATTATTTTTCATCTTCAAAAATCTTTCTTTTCTCGTCTTGGCATGCACTAAAATTTTAGGCAACTGTTCCATGACTTAAGATATTCTGCACATGTTGTTGAGTTGTTAGGTCCTTCTTGATTTCTTTCTTTGACCACAATATACGTATTTCCTCCTTTAACTCTAGTTATTCTATAGGGCCAAGGTACTTTGGTTTCAGCTTCAAATGAGGTCCAAATAGAATTCTTTTAATGGCAACTAAATTTCCAACTTTGTAAGATTTCGGCTCTTTTCTTTTTAAATTATACGTCTTACTATTTTCTTCTTGGATTTTAAAAATCTGTTGTTTTGCATCTTTTCTCAATTCTTCTCTTTGGACTTCAAAATGAGCATGGACTTTAATTTCAATCATTTCTTTTAATTTTCCCAGTTTATTATTCTTCATTTTTGTCCCAAAAAGTAATTCGAATGGAGTAGTGAATTTTAAGTATTAATGGAGTAATTATTAATGGAATTAAATATTAATGGAGTAGTGAAGTGATAATTTTGAAAGAATTGATCTGATGGCCTGATTAATACGCTCTACTTGTACGTTTGCTCTTGGAAAACATGCTGTTATTAAGTGTTTAATATTTTCTTTCGAGCAACAATCAGCGAATTCGAGCAATAATCAGCTTATCGAAGAATGGCATTTGGGGAAAAACGCCTCAAAAAATTAATGTTTTCATAAATAATATAATTGTTATTGCCCCTGTCTCTTAATTGCACAATAAAACGCTCTCTTTACCGAAGAAAAATGTACGCAAAGAATTCCTTTACTTTACTTATTTTACTGAGCTTTCTAACCCCTCTAAATAATAGCCATTTTACACTATATTCTTTAAATTGCCTCTTTCATTTTTAGAAATATTTACAGTATAATTTCCAATTTCTAACATAAATTGTCACTGACAGACATATCTATAATTACACAGAAGAGATATATTAAGCTTTAATAAAAAGGGGGAGTCTACAGATGGAATTTTGGGAAAGTCTCTTAGTTTTTCCTCTCCCCAAGGACTAGAACTTTCAGTGTTTTGAACTATTTATAAACAAGTAAATTACGATTTATTAATAAATTTGAGCTTATATTTCTTTCATTTATTTAGATTTAACTGAAGCTATTATCTGCTTTATTATCAACAATCTTTACTCTCGTTTGATATCTTTCAAACAAGAGAGAAAAAAAAAGGGTAGTTTCAACTATTGGCGAGGAAGACGGTGGGTACAAAAATACAAATTTTACTTCACCTCATACTGGACACATTTATTGTGTCTGTAATTTGGATTCCAATATTATTTACGGGAATTTTGAAATTGATAAGGGGTTCTGTTCCTCATGAGGAAAAATCACCGTGTTATGGAAGAACAGCCTTAAATCATTTTCATATATTTGTGGTTTCCACAAAAACAAGAGAAAACTTTACTCGCATAATCTCAGGTGTGGGTAAACACTACATTGGTTTCCACCTAATTATGGGTCAGATTTCCCAGAACTATTCTTCTCCTCAATATAATTTTATGACAATCCAGGATTATTTTCAATGAACGCAACAGAAGTTGACTGAAATGTACATAAAATGCACTCTTTATTTTTACCTTCTGGTGTTAGACAGAATTCTTCAGCTGAATATTATAATTCGGAAGAGTAAAGTTCAGTTTGTCTATTTCAAAGTTTAAAGAGAAGTTAATTTTCTAGTGTTAGGATATTTAAATTCTTCCATTATTATCAAATCTTCTTCTTTAAAGTCAGCTTTTTAAATCATGTCTAAGTTTATTTTTCTCAATTCTGTTCCTTGGTTTTTTCAAAAATTATTTCCTTTTCTACTGAGGAGGGAAGTATAAAGGTTGATCAATAGGAGAATCGTTTTTCCTAAAATCTCGTGTTCTACTTTCAGAAGAAATTGAACTTTAACTAATTGCGTGCATCAAACGAAAACAACAAAATATCGCCATTAAGACTCTGAATGGCAATAGCTTTCATTATGTTCAAGAGAAGAAACATAAAACATTTTCCCCTTGAAATTGACATGGGTTAATATAGCTTCATTGTCTCCATAGTTTATAGATAGGGAGGTTTTGAAGTAAATGAAGCAAAACCAGAAACGAGTATTTTTAAATTGGTTTAAAAGTTGTAAAATATGTTGTATTATAAATATATATAGCACAATAAAGACAAAAAGGATAAAAAGAAAAAAGAGAAACACTGATAAAATGAATAAGTTCTATTTACTGCGGATAAGCTGCAAGTATATAGAACTCATAAATTAAGTTAAAAATATAGAAAAAACAAGGAAAATAGAAAATATTAATAAGAAGAGAAGAAGAAAAATTATTAAAATAAAATATTTTTAAGAAATAATAAAAAATATTTTTAAAAAATGTATTAAAAAGCAGGAAAACAAAAAATGAAAAGATATAGTCTCTTCATCAACTCAAACACAATTTTTTTAAAATAATTGTTTAATTTTCTAAAATCATTAAAATTGCATGATTAAATATCAACCTTATTATTCATAAACTTCTTTAAATTATCCAGTATAATATTATTACTTTGAGCACATCCATTTTCGGACCAATCCTTGATAACACAAATCAAACGGGCTTCAGTAAGAATTCGCCATAAAACAAACTTATTCCCCCATTTACACTTATAACTCCATTTGAGCTTCTGTTTTTATATTTTGTATTCTCGCAATCTTATTACAAAAATATTTTAAATTATTCTTGAATGATTCCAGTACATGTAAGTTCATTTTAAATTCGCTACTCGCTTTATAGATTTCGTTTTGCCTTACCTTACTTTACTTGCCAAATCCTTACTTTTAATACTTCGTGTTTGTATACCTTTCGGCACGTATAATTTCATCAGTTTACTCTTTTGACTTCATTGAATTTCATTCGAAAAAACATTTTTAGTAATATATCCGTACTAATTCTTTCAAACAATTGATGTTTTTTTAAATTTTATATAATTTTTTGTAGGATAACTACAGTTCTGTACATAAAAATGTATTTAGTTAACCTCAGCACCTAAAATGGTGATAACACCGACATTCTTAACTGGGTAGAGAAGTGTTACGATAGTTATAAGAACTTAATGAATTTATTCTAAATGTACTCTATATTTATATATTTAGGTATGGAAAATTATCGGAAAAGATTCGTAGAACAGCTCCTGGTGAGTTTCAGTGTCAAGTGTTTTGTGGCGGTAAAAGATGTAAATATGACAGCGCTACATGGCATAAAGAAGATATGGCAGTTAACGGCATATACTCACATTGGTAAATAATACTTTTTTTTTTATACTTTTGGTTATAACCTAAGACATTTCACTGAACTAAAAATCGAAAATCGTTCAACTTTTTGAAGAAAAAAGTAGAAACTCAAACAGAACCTTACATTCCTAATCTAAAAAAATATCTTATAAGTTATAGTTGTCACTAAGCCTCCCATCTTTTAAAAAGCAACCTGTCGATTAATAGTGCTGCTTCTTTTTTATATTTTATCCCCTTTATATGAATGATTTTTCAAGAGTGAAACATTTGGATGTCTAAAATCTTGACTTCTACATTATGGTCAGTGATCAGCAAAAACTGTTTTAATTACTGATTGTAAAAATAAATATGTACTCTTAAAGTTATCATGATCATAAAAATAAAGAGCCAATCGGAAAGTTTTTCTCGTTCAATGTATGGCCACTGACCATTACTTAAAGTTAAAGTTAGTAAAGTTACATTATAAAGTTGTGCTCACGAAAGTTACCTTCAGTTCGAGACTTGACGCTGTTTAAAATTAAGGCGATTTGTTTGTAAAATCCGCGTAATCCATTTGCCCTGAAACGAGTGGAAATAGTGAAATGCTGCCATCTGTCGAGAAGTAGCGTGTTTGTTATCAATGGTCGCCAATGTAGTAAAAGTGCGAGAGTGAAGCCTTTTTGAACAATGACTGGATTCAAAAACTAGGTTCCTTCATTTTGATGTAACAACCATAGCAAAGGTTATACTTCCGACTTGAGTAAAGAAGTTTAATATAATAACGATATAAATTAACACTACTAATTTTGCTGAAGTTCATTATGATTACGGGCTCTTTAAGTTCTTTGCATAAATTAACATTCAGTATTTTACGGAAATTTTTTAGAGCGTACTTCAGAGTGGTTTGACCATCGAGACTCTTAAGAGTCATTAAACCCAAGTAGCACAGGGATATTGTAACAGCTTTAGTCTACATCGACCGACATAGTCAATATTGGCGAAAATCGACATTGTGTTAACGATATTGTACGATTCCCGTCGATTTCAAATTAAAAGTCTGTTCGTAAAACTTTTCATTTTAAACTTTATTGTGTTCTTAAATCAAAATTAATCATTTAAAAGACAAAAAATGACGTCAAATTGTTATAATTCCAAAAAATAAATTTAAAATATAAATTTAGAGATATCCGAAATGCTGAGAGATATCGATCGACGTTCCCCAACGTTTATACAATATCGAACAATATTGTTTCGCGATAGTGAATATACGTTATAAAAGGGGTCCATTTTTATATAGTACAATGCTTCGCTACGATATTGTACAATGTTCAAAGCTAAGTTTTTACGATATCGTTTTTGTGAATTGTGCTACTTGGGAAGCCTATACGTAATCAATAAGCAAATACCTAAAGAAATGTTGCAAACAAAAATTGTGTCGTCTACAGAAACTTTAAATTATTATTTATGAGAGAAACAAAAAAAAAACAAATTTTAACTGTTACCTGAATTTAGTTTGAACCATTAAAGTGAACTATCTACAAATAATTCTATTATTATTTTGCTTAAATTTTTCTAAACATTTTTTCATGTTACACCTTTTGATTTGTTCTCTGGCAAATTTTTTCGTCAATGTTGTACAATTGTTTTTATGACCAGCATTGACAGTAGACCCATTTTAGGGTTTGCAACTGTCAATGTTCATTTCTATAACCGTGCAGTTTCAAAAAAAATACAGAGCACAGGGTGATTTCTGGATCAAATATTGAGTCAAACTTACCATCCTAGAGACCTTTCTGATGGCACTAACCCTCATTTGCGTTACGCGGAAAAGAAAACCACGAAAACTTCTCCCAGTTAGTCAAACGGCAGGGGAATTATAAACCGTGACCCGTCTACCATTGGGGATGTTTTATGCCTGCTCCATGTTTGACCCGAGCCAGGAACAGAATTTCAAACAACTAGCCATCGCTAGGATTCGAACCTGTGTCACGTCATTGGGAGGCTCATTTATTATGATAACTTACTTTACCATTCTCTCTGCACAACCCACGGTATCCTACACCAGCATGTCAATGCTTCATTTCAATATTTAAACATCATTAGATGGCGGTTCGATATAATTTCGAATAATGTCCCACAGAAATTTGACTTTCAATACTATTCCAAGCATATTTATTTTAATTTGATCCGGTATATTTATTTCCAAGTATATTTATTTTAATTTTGTAAACCAGCATTTAATTCAATTATTTGTATTAGTCATTACACTTTCTGATACTAGGGTTAAATCCTTATCCATGTTAAATTTATAATTTTTACCACTTCTTAATGGCATTCAAACATTGCAAATAAATTTCAATTATTAAATATTACATTTCGAAATAATAATTTAAATATTTATTTATCTTAACTCTAAGCACAATTAAACAAAAATTTAAATTTTGTCCAAACAATCAATAAATTATGCATACTGTGATATATAATACAATAAAAAGATAATAATTCCTTAAAATAATTTTTATACTAATTATAATAATGATTTTACTGAATCAAAAGTGAAAATATTTAATTTTAAAAATATTATTTTTATTTAAAACTAAATAATATGGTAAACTATTGAATAATTTCAAAAAATAAAAATATTATCAAATATAAATATTAATATAAATGTAATAACCATATAATTGTATTTTAAATTATTCACAATATGAGCATGAATATAAATTTAAAAGCATTTAATTTTTAAATTTTAACTGTTATAGAAAAGTTCAATCGAGAATGAATACCATTTCAAAAATAAAATAAACCGCACAATCGTAAAGCAAAAAAAAAAAAAATAAATAAATAAAATCTATCTTTAAACACTCAAGCATATTGCAAATAAAACTCGCGTTGTTAATTTGCTGATTCCGTAATAAATTTATGAGACAGTTTAGCATTAGGCGATTCTCGTTGAATCGAAATTTATGTAAACCTTATTTGTCTGTTTCACAACATCGTCAGTTTAGAAAAACATTATTAATGGATGATAAAATCCTTAAATCGTTTTGTTTAGTAAGACACATTTTCGATTGAAGGAAAAATCTCCGACGTCTCGCGTGACTCACACTTATCGGAAACTCTTGATCCATTTTGTTTTGATTTCCTTTTTATTTCAGGATGTCATATTCAGCACGTTAAAGTAGTCGATAAGTCAGTTTTAACATTTAATTCCAGCTGTATTCTCGCCTTAGTGAGAATATTTTTTTAAATTAGCTATCAAGTTGAAATCCATACTTCCTTTATTTTTCGGTTTTTATCAGGATGTTTCATGTCTCAGCATCAGGTAACTACAGGTGGTTATCAAAATAATGGAAACACCCTAGATTTTGAAGGCTTGGGAATTGCTGTTCTGCCGTAAATGTTCTCTTTACGAAGGTATCTCCTAACTGTAACTGTTGACACTGGAGAATCCAGATGCTGATTGAGCTCTGCAGTCACTTTGGCTGCAGTTGTTTTCTTTTTCGACATTACAATCCGCTTCAATACCTGCCGGTCTCTTTCACTCAGCTTCTCCTTCCGTCCACTATTTTGCTTTGCTGAGCTTGTCTTTCCGCGCTGTGTGTATGCTGTCATTACTTTAGACACCGTACCTCTAGAAACACCTAAAAGCTGGGATGTTTCGATCACTGTTGCTCCAACTAGTCGGGCTCCTACAATTTGGTCTCTCTGAAAATCTGTGAGGTCTGACATTTTACGCTTCTGACAAAAAATCAAAACGTAGACAACTCTGCTAAAGCTCTCTCATACCACCTAATATATGTACTTTTTATATTAAAAAAAAACTGGTATCTAAGATTATATTTTAATGCTTATGAAGCGAATTCTTAAATGTCACTTTTATTCACAAGTGTTTCCATTATTTTGACAATCACCTGTATTTAAATCACAGGAATTTCGTGGCCTTCAGAAATAACTTCTGTTCTATTCATCATCTACCCCCAGTCGTTGCCTCTGAAACTGGGTTCGCCCTCAGACATTTTGGTTCAGATAGAGGCTGGTTCTGAGATTCATTCAAACTGGAAGCAGTGGAAAAAATTTCATTTTATTATTATTATTATTATTCAACTACCTTATCCTGCTAGGTTTGTAATGTTAACAGCCATGGTCAGATGCTCAGGAACTCAGGTAAACAGTTGGATGGAAAATGAAGTTTATTTAAGTGATTGTAAAGAGATGTAAGAGCTTCACATCGTCTATTTAAGGCCCAAATCGCGTTTCGAAATCTGTGTGCTTGAGTTTTTATCCTAGGGAAAGTAGCGTAAGTTTTTCCCTAGATTGTTTTAGGTCTCAAGGAAAAAGGGGGACATTATAATTGGTCTGTTAAAAAGTTGAGGGAATTAAGGTCTTTCTCACGGTTCCATGAAAGGGAGAAATCAAAAATGATAATTAACTTGAAGCCAAAAATAGATTAAAAGACAGGATGTAAATATTAAAATGTGAGAAAGAGCATTTAGATTAGAATAATAAATTACGAATAAGATTTAGATAAAGGAATAACATAAAAAGATTAGTTTACGCTTGTAGCATCCCCCTCCCCGAAAAATTTTAACAACTATCTAAAAATCATAAAAAAATTATTATGTATTTGCAATACTTTCCATGTGATAGAAGCACAATTAAAATGGAAAGAATAAAATTTGTAATCTTAAAATTGAACCAATATTTAAAAATAATACGAATTATAAAAAACACACTGATGTAAACAAGATAAAAATTTCACACAATGTTACTAATTTAACACACAATTCGCTGCAGATAAGTGATTGTAGGCTTGATTTACATTTAAATGTTTTTTTTAAACTAAATTTTTTTTTCTCTTTGTACCCCACAATTTTAATTCATAAAATATATTGAAGTAACTAATAATGTGATGGTTTTATTTACTTTTGCATCATTATTATGTTGTTTTTTTTCATGCGAAAACAAAAACCAGCACAATTCTTTATTTTCTAAATAATAAAATTTAGATTAAATCATGGAACTTA